TAGTCAAAGGTTTTAGTGATGGTGTCTGTCGGAAAAATTTTATTTCATATATTTAATACTCTTAAAATATATATATATGTTTGTACTCAAATATTTGCTTTTAAGCATATATTTTACATATACAAGGATTATGGTTGGCATTAAATCATCATAAACATGAATTTTTTTGGTGGTCTACTTTAAAGATAGCGTCATAGTGTAAAACTTGGCGCCAAAACACCAATTAATTTGTTATGTTATAAAAAGTAGGCACCATGACACCAAGCATAATGTCACAACGCCATTCTATGAACTCATACATATTGGGAATATTGAATGAAAAGCGCCATAGTATTATTTTTGGCCCAAAATATTTGAACATCAACTTTCAAAAATCTACTAATGCCTTAGAGCTAGATTACACTGACCTCCATGAGCTTAAATTATCCTGATTATTCCAATTACATATCTAATTAAATTGATTATCTTACCACAATCTACTAATGCCTTAGAGCTAGATTACACTCCATGAGCTTAAATTATCCTGATTATTCTAATTACATATCTAATTAAATTGATTATCTTACCACAATTGGTTTCTTCCTCCAAAAATGTTATTTCTGTTAAAGTTGAAATGATTCTCCCAACATGGGTTGTAATAATCAAAATAAGGATTGTGCATCTCAGGGCTAGTCTAAATCAATTGTCTAAATGAATTTTCCTCAATAACTCGAGGTCCTTCAGGATAACTTTTTATGTCATGATCTAACTTTCTCGCAATATCTGCCACTTGAGAAGCTAAAATAGTCAGCATATAAACTTCATAAAAAATCATTAACCTCTTGGGGTTTACTCTATCAAAGCTGCTGGCATCATAATCGAAAACTAAATATTCATTATCTCGTTGATTCACCATTTCTACAATAAATTCATGGAGTCTTTTCTGATACATAATCATCCTAACAGTTCTCTGTAGTTCTGAGTCATACAATTCAAGGTTTGCAGCTTCTGAACTATGCATAGAAATCTAAAAACTTAACTAATAAGACAGATATATAGTACTTTAAGCACTCAAAAATATTTTTGGAATTTTAGATCTTTTTTAAAATAAACACACAATAATTAAACACAATAGATAATAATATTATAACTTCCAAATCTAAGTTTTATATGTCCAATTAAAATTTTCTTAAAGTTCTACCGCAGCTTCCCCAACAACAACAACAAAAACTTGACCCGACCCGCAATTACATAAATATTTTAATTTCCTAGCCAAAAACTTGATCCGGTTTCCTTAGGCGGCTAGTATGAAAAATGAATAGAATTTAGAATTTTATTTATATTTCACACACTAGGGGTTCTACGCAAGTATACACATTGTTTCAAGTAATATAGAGTCTTCTTTAAAAACATCAGTATCGATCCCACAGGGAAGCGAGATAAGAAATTCTATAGCCTAAGTTCTAATCTACTAATCAAGTCTTAGTTTGGAATTTTTGAAAAGTTTGATTTTCCTAAATTCACTAATATATTCTAAAATTAAAGCTAACTAAATAAAATAAAAACCTAATCTAAGGAGACTGGTTAAATTTTGAAAAGTTCTTATATAATCAGAATCCCTTTCCCCTTGCAATGAGATCATAATCAGTATAGGAATAAAAAATTTAATGGTTAAATGTAGTTTTGTGCCAAATATGGGCATTCCTATTCTTTACCCTCTCCCAAGCACATAAAGAGTATTGTCGAACCTAAAGTTGAGTTCCAAATTGATATGGTTATGCTGGGTAGGTTCCAGCCCGCGACTTCTAGATTACCCACTGTGCCTCTCTATAAAAATAATCAGGCTTCAGATTTTGAACTAAAGAGCAAATTAGTAAAGTTTCTAGCCTATCACCATAAAATCACCAATTTTATGCCCATCAAAACTTATCTCCCTATTTATTTGCACCAACCCATGGATTACCTTCTCACCCATGAAATTAATATGATTATAACTAGTTGAGGAATATAGCGCCCTCCCAGGTCATTATGGATTCATAACAAATTTTAACATACCAATTGAACATATCGAATATGTAAATTAGCTATGAAGTAATGAATCAACACAAGTATGAAATAAGAAAAATCTTAAATTGGTAAATGTTCTAGCCTATCACCCTAGAATCATCAATTTTACACCCATCATTCCATAAAAAATTCTCCCTATCTATTTGCACCGACCTATGTATTACCTTCTCACCCATGGAACTAATGTGATTCTTACTTGTTGAGGAATACATAGCCCTCTCGGGTCATTATGGATTCACAATAAATTTTAATATATCAATTGATCAGATCAAATATGTAAATTAACTATGAAGTAATGAATCATCACAACTATGAAATAAGAAAAAAAATTAGAAAATTCTAATCCTACACATGATTAAATCTTATTATAAGGAGAAACAATAAGGAAAAATATTCACTAAGTATGGAGAAAACACAATAGAAAACTTTGTTTAAATCAAAGCAAATTCATTAGAAAAGTGTTTACAATAAAGTGTTTACAATAATTTTACAATAATTATAAGATAATGAAGAACACAATACTTAAAATTTTCCCTTTGAAAAAAAAATGAAATCCCTACAATAAAGTCTTCTGCTGATCCACACAATGCTCATACAATTCCTTCCAAATATCTCTCAAAATCCCTCATCAATCTCTCCAGAAAAAGGTAGAAATCTACATCTCCTAATCCTATCTACGACCTCTGGATGTTCTTGGAGATTCTAAGAGTTTGAAATGTCAAAAGGTGCATTCCCAAGTGCCAAAAGTTGTCTTATAACTCATTAGGACGTCTATAAGCCGTCCAAAACCATTTCTGGCGCCTAGGTGCCAGAATGTGGCACCATGGTGTCAGAACTGGGCAACTAGAGCCTAGGCTCCACTTTCTGGGAACTAGGAGTCATCCTGCTGGCAACACCCCTGTTTCGCTCCGTTTCACTTCATTTCGCCCCGTTTTAGCTTCAATCCGCTTCAAGTGTTACACCTATAAGATAAACATGAAAATAAAAGTCTCTTAAAGTGAAATTTCATTCAAAAACACATGGTAAATGTAAAGGAGCTTAAACATAAAAGACATATCAAAATGCGCCAGATCAGAATTTTCTTCCTTGCTCGATTTTACTCCACATTGCACCATTTTTGCTCAATGTTCTCCAAAACACCATTTCTTACACATGAAACCTAAAACATGCAAAATACATTCCTTTAAAGTACAATATACACATGAAACCTAAAACATGCAAAATACATTCATTTAAAGTACAATATTATTTAAAATAACATAAAATGTATATAAAAAATAGGTAATTTTTAGGTGTGTCGGTTGCTGAGCCAGTCACTCTTGAATAAGAGCTGGGGCAAGGACCGTCGTACCAATTTCGTGCATGTCTGCTCTGCTCGCCATCTCAAGCTAGAGTGACATCATGTCAAACAACTCCTTAGTTTCTTCCACCCTTTACTTCTTCTGGATCACTTTTTTAACCCGCTTCTCTCTCTCTGGTAGGCTCCCTCCTTCCGGCCTCTTTGAGCTGACCAACCAGCCTTCTCCCTCTAGCCTCTTTGCTACTACCGGTCAGCCCATCCCTCAGCTTCTTCGTTATTATGGCTTGACTAATCTTCAATTTCTTTTTCTCCCCTGCTTCCTTTGGAGAGAGGGTTTTTTTGGTCAAAATTCTGAAAGCCTTCATCATGTCCGGCTCATTTACAGATTTCTTACTGCTCGCCATAACTCTCTTCTGTTAGCAACCGACTGAAAGGCAGAAAAATAAGAAAGAGTTATAAGAAAGTGCTGATCACGACCTATTTATAGAGATTACTAACACGAAAATCGAAAAAATATTAAAAGTACTTATTCCACAGTATATAATTCAATTTTTATATTTAATTCTCTTATTCTTATCACAACTGATACTCTTAAGAAGTTTGAGAATCAGGAAACTAAATATATACGTCAAAAGTATGATAGCAAGAAACTCGAGGAAATTTAACGGGTCTTGCTTATAAACACTAAAGAATAATGTATTGGGATAGTCAAAAGACAAAAACACTAAGTGTCATTTCTTTCGATTGGAACTATAAGGCAACCAAACAATAACATAGCTGAAAGAAAGAATAGGAGACAACTAATCTGAGAGATAATCATTTGTAATTAGCTCCCTCAGCTAATTCCAGAATTCTTCACAAAGATTGCCTAAGGGCACCTCACAAAGCACATTTTTGATCCTGTGAAAAGGTCCTTTGTCTGAGGATGGATGCCCGTCAGATTAAGGTGATGCACCCTCTATATGACGGTCCAAGTTAACCTTAAAGACATGAGGGCCTTTACTCAGGATTCCATTAAGAGGGTCGGTCGATAACCTCTATGTCACCCAAAGGCATGCAAGCTGATCAAAAGTTTTCAGCCGATCAAATGATAAGATTAATGGTCATTAAATGTGTCTTTTAAAGCAGTTATGAGTCTAAAACAGTGCCAATGTCAACTATGAATGTGAAAGGGTGCCAGAGACTTACAAATATGAAAATGTGTAATAATACTTGTAACGTTCCTATTAAAATACAAATAAATATGTAATTTTATTATATACCTTTGAAACCAATAAATAAATGATCAATTTGCTTTATAAAGAAGTACTAAAATTATTTTCTCAAAACTTTTGTTATTATGCACTCCGTTGTTCTTTTCATTCGTCCAACACTATATTCCTTAAGGTGTGATATAGATAACATATTTGATTCAACAACTATTAATCAAATAATAAATAAAAATAAAAGTCAAGGATAATTCTCTATTAAAAATGATAAACAATAAATAAAAAAAAATTCTATGAGGAAGAAACTCAAATTATTATGTCACATTTTCTTTCACAATAAATGCTAATTTTTATTCAATCATGATGGATATCTTATTATTAAATTCGATTAACTTTTAGCATAAATACTAGACAGCTCTTGTGTTTGGTTAATTTAGAACTCGGTCTCGAAGTGGCTTCTGCCTCTTCTGCGCTCTCCGCAGCCCGACCCCCTTCTCTCTCTTTCCTAGGGTTTCTAATTTTTCTATATACTCGCGGTTGTTAGTTGATCCGACTGTCAGATCTTCGACCTTCTCCTGGTGATTCCTAAGGGCGTGGAGGCTGACAAAATTCCATGTATGTAACCTGAATCATGTTGCTTGTTTCCTAAGAGATTTTCCAGAAGCCTCGGTATGGCGCGGGCATGGCCTTCTTTCTTTTTTTTTTTCCTTACGTTTTCTGATGCACTGGTATTCTAATTAAGTTTTGTTTCGTTTGTTGCCTTTTTCTGTTTCTTTGCTTTGATTTGCTTTTTCCTGATACGAGTTTTGACTTGTTTGACTTGATCTTTGGTAGGAATTAGTGAATCAGGGGCTGTCTGGTTAGCGTAATTTGATTTTTGCGCATATTTTTACCGATTCAGTTTTTGTTGGATTGTAAATCATCGAGTTTACTTCGTTTTAACAGGATATGTATGGATTTATGCTGATCTTGTTGAATCCCAGCACATTATGCTGCTTAAGAAAATACCTTTTTTTGTTCTGATTGGTTTGTTGGGTAGGCCATTTGTTAGATCTACTACCGGCTTGGTGGAGTAAGATCAAAACAGAAACCAGTGTTGGATTAGATCCACTTGTTCTTAGATACTTTATGAAGTTACTTTAAATTAATGTCTGATATATTATTCTGGCCGGCATGGTGAGATACCATGCAAAATGTCATTTTGTTTTATTTTATTTCTGGTTTTTTTTCCTGATTGCTTTTTTCTAGTGATGAATTATCTTTCTTTGTTTTATTTTCGTATTATTTAATCATATATTACAACTGTGAAATTAAAAATCATCCATGTCCCTTTTCGCCAAACATAGGCTTTCTCATTAGTTGATTGTATTTGATGAAGGTTTTTCTAAGCATTCTTATTAGTTTGAGCTGCCCTATCTAGCTTAATCGTTGTTTCTGTCAGAATAAAATATAACTATTTGAATGAGCTAGATTCCTGATACTGGATGTAAATTCTTTGTTCCATGTTCTTTTTTTTTTTGAATCTTGGAGAATCTTGGAGCTAATATATGTTTATGTTTTTTACTAGTTTCCAGTAATGTCTTCCTGAATTCTAAGTAAGTGGTCCACCTTTGAAATGCCACTGTATGGGGATAACCTTCAGGTTAACTCATCCATGTCATTTCACATAGGCCATGGTAACTTTTTCCCTTCACTTGTAATTTTTTTTCACTTTAATCAATTCAAACGCGAATGAAGGTCTGGTAACTTGCTTTTAATCTTTATCTGGTTTTATTTCTGAGATGTGGAGGAGTAAGACTTGTATTTTATCTAGAAACTTTTCTTTTGACACGTCTTACAAGTTGGAATAATGTCAAATAGAGGTTTGAAGGTGTTTTATTGATTTTAAATTCTAGTTAATGATTTGTTTCTTTATCTTTTTTTTGCTAGATGCACAATGGCGGTTGAAATCACTCAAATCCTTTTAAACGCACAGTCAATTGATGCCGCTACCCGTAAACATGCAGAAGAAAGCTTGAAGCAATTCCAAGATCAAAATTTTCCTAGTTTTTTGCTTTCTCTCTCCGGTGAGTTAGCAAACAATGAGAAGCCTGTCGATAGCCGAAAATTAGCTGGTCTTATCCTCAAGAACACTTTGGATGCAAAGGAGCTGCACAGGAAAAATGAGCTTGCTCAGAGATGGCTGTCATTAGATGCATCAGTGAAAGCTCAGGTGAAAGGATGCATGTTGCAGACCCTTTCTTCCCCTGTTTCTGATGCTAGGTCTACTGCATCTCAAGTCATTGCAAAGATTGCAGGGATTGAGTTGCCGCAAAAGCAGTGGCCTGAACTTATAGGCATTCTCTTATCAAACATTCACCAGCTACAATCTCATGTCAAACAAGCAACACTCGAAACACTTGGATATTTATGTGAGGAAGTTTCTCCTGAAGTTGCTGATCAAGACCAAGTGAACAAGATACTGACTGCAGTTGTCCAGGGAATGAATGCTTCTGAGGGGAATAATGATGTCAGGTTGGCTGCGACTCGGGCGCTTTATAACGCATTAGGATTTGCACAGGCAAATTTTTCAAATGACATGGAGAGAGATTATATTATGAGAGTTGTTTGTGAAGCAACCATGTCTCCTGAGGTCAAGATTCGACAAGCAGCATTCGAGTGCTTGGTTGCCATCTCCACTACGTATTATGACAAGCTTGCTTCGTACATGCAAGACATATTTAGTATCACTGCAAAGGCAGTCAGGGAGGATGAGGAGCCTGTTGCTCTTCAGGCCATAGAGTTCTGGAGCTCAATTTGTGATGAGGAGATTGACATCTTAGATGAGTATGGAAGTGATTTTACTGCTGATTCTGATATTCCGTGCTTCTATTTCATCAAGCAGGCCTTGCCAGCATTAGTTCCTATGCTATTGGAAACTTTGCTTAAGCAGGAGGAGGGCCAAGATCAGGATGAAGGTGCTTGGAATATTGCAATGGCTGGTGGAACATGTTTGGGTCTTGTTGCCCGAACGGTTTCGGATGATATAGTCCCTCTTGTGATGCCTTTCATAGAAGAGAACATAACAAAACCAGATTGGCGACAAAGAGAAGCGGCAACATATGCTTTTGGTTCTATTTTGGAAGGGCCGTCAGCTGAAAAACTCAGCCCCATTGTAAATGTTGCACTAAACTTCATGCTCACGGCATTGATGAAGGATCCCAATGATCACGTCAAGGACACTACTGCGTGGACTCTTGGAAGAATCTTTGAGTTTATGCATGGCTCCAATGTAGAGACACCTGTTATAACCCGTGAGAATTGCCATCAGATTCTCACTGTATTGCTACAGAGCATGAAAGATGTTCCTAATGTTGCTGAAAAAGCCTGCGGTGCCTTATATTTTCTTGTGCAAGGTTATGAAGATGCTGGTTCTGCATCGCCATTGTCTCCCTTCTTTCATGACATAATTCAAGCTCTTCTTTCTGTTACCCATAGAGATGATGCTGGTGAGTCTCGCCTGCGGACTGCAGCTTATGAAAGTTTGAATGAGGTGGTGAGGTGCTCTACAGAAGAGACTGCCCCCACAGTGATGCAGCTGGTGCCAGTTATCATGATGGAATTACACCAGACCCTTGAGGCACAAAAGCTTTCTATGGATGAGAGAGAGAAGCAAAATGAACTTCAAGGTCTTCTGTGTGGGTGCCTTCAGGTTATCATTCAGAAGTTGGGATCAGCAGAATCAACAAAATATGCTTTTATGCAGTACGCAGATCAGTTGATGGATCTTTTCTTGAGGGTTTTTGCCTGCAGGAATAATGCTACAGTGCATGAAGAGGCTATGCTGGCTATTGGTGCTTTGGCATATGCTGCTGGCCAAAATTTTGTGAAGTACATGCAAGGATTTTATCCTTATCTGGAAATGGGTCTTCAAAACTTTGAGGAGTATCAGGTATGTGCTATTACTGTTGGTGTTGTTGGAGATATATGCAGGGCATTGGAAGAAAAAATATTGCCATTTTGTGATGGAGTCATGACACATCTTCTCAAGAATCTCTCAAGCAATCTGTTACATCGGTCTGTGAAGCCGCCGATTTTCTCATGTTTTGGTGACATTGCCTTGGCGATAGGGGAGAACTTTGAAAAATATTTGATATATGCAATGCCTATGTTACAAAGTGCTGCAGAGTTATCGGCGCATGCAGTAACAGTTGATGATGAGATGCTCGAATACACCAATCAGCTTAGGAATGGCATTCTTGAAGCCTACTCTGGGATATTCCAAGGTTTCAAGAACTCTCCAAAGACCCAGTTGCTGATGCCTTTTGCACCTCATATTCTACAATTCCTGGATAGCTTGTACAATGAGAAGGACATGTAAGTTTTAGTGAATTTTGTTTCTCCACTTTAAGCTGGCTTTCCTGTTGGATAATCATTTTTATGATTTTAATCTCAGTCCTTGATATCCCGTCCATTTGTTTTTACCAGGGATGACGTGGTGATGAAGGCTGCCATAGGTGTTCTCGGAGATTTAGCTGATACACTGGGCACCAATGCTGGTCCCTTGATAAACCAGTCTATTTCAAGCAAAGACTTTTTGGAAGAATGCTTATCATCAGATGATCATTTGATTAAAGAATCTGCTGAATGGGCTAAGTTAGCTGTTACTCGGGCTATTTCTGGTTGATTTTAAGGCAAACTCTGTTAAAAGTGTTTCTGCATATGCATCTGAGTCGTGTTGAAGTCCGGTCGGGAATTACATGCATGAGTCAGTCTTCACCATCATCATTTGTCTGAGGCTTTGATGTCTGGGCTGAGTCAGGACGTAATCACTAACTCATTTGCATCAGTTAGTCGGGTCCTTATCTTTCTCATTTTTCGCTGCACTTATGCTAACGTTGAAACCAGAAGCCACATGATCCCCTCCTTTTGCAGTAAATCTGATTGAATCAAGTTTTACTGAGATGGCTCTCCTTGATGGCAATGGCACCATGGATTTGTGTTGCGCTCCATTACATATCCACACAGATGAATTAGACATCTCCAATTGAATTGGCAAACAAAATATATCATCAATTAGCAAAGCCTGCAGTTATGGTGGGAGATCTGATACCCTCTAGCATTAATTTCATGGTCAAGTTGGAAATCAATCTGCATATTTTTCATCTTATGCCCATTTTTCCATCATTTTTATTTATTTTTCTTGGAAATTTTATGATTGTCTTGCCTGTTTTCAGTTTTTCTGGTCCGGTCTTGTCTGTTCTGGTCTGCATTTCATCCAAATACCATTTGCTCTCATATACATTGTAGAAGGCTCCAATATCTGTTGTGAAAGTTCTGCATCTGCTTATATGTAATGAGAATACTTGTAAAGTTCTTTGCCTTAGGGTCTACTCCAGCATCCACAACAATGCTTCGATCAATCAAAAGCCCTAATGTTGCTGGCATTTTTATTATTATGTTTTGTCTAGCTGTTTCCTTCTGTTTTATGCCAAGATTCTTGGCTCTCTTTCTGTACTGTTTTCTGTGAGCGATGCCCTTATAATTCTTCAGTCTTCTTTGCATTGTTTTCCTTTGTATTCTATTCCCTGTGTGAAATTTTTTTATATGCTTATAATTCTTCCTTGGGGTTGATTTTTCTTATGTCAGGCAACCATATGAAGAAATTTAGCATCTTTGTCATTTATTATTATTTATTTTATTTTATTTGTGGTGTCATTATTGGTGAAATCTACACATGAATTCGAAATTTGTTCATGGTGGAGGTAGTTTTAGCCAATTTAATGGTATTGTAGGCTGATTTGACTTGTTAAAATGTACCAAAAAATGGAATTTAGTTTTATAATGTGACCGGTTCTACCAAAATATTCGAAATGGTTTCTTGTTCTTTTTTTTTCTCTTTTCTTTTCAATTCCTTCTGAGTTCTGGGTGGCAAGGTAGGTGGGTTATCTCTTGAGTGGAGAATCTTGTAACATGCCCAACTTCTCTTATCATTTCGTATTTTTCACTTGTTAGATTTATATAGAATATCTACATGCAAGCCACCAAATTCTTATGTATTCACACATCGAACACTGGAAGTTTATATTTTACATGTCACAAATCTTAAGTATTATTATTTATAAGTTCAAAAATTGAGATATATCTTTTAATGCATAGCTAAAATGATGTAAAAATTGAACTTTAATTGATAAATATGTAAATGCACAGGAAGGTATTTATGTAAATCTTCTATTATTGATTTTACTTCTGTTTGTTCATTTTGTTAAACAAAAATTTTTCTCAAGTATTTTTATTTATTTTATTGCCATAGAGTTTATAGAGGTATTGTTCTGGCTTGTTCGGTTGTTCAATATCATGCTGTTTCGGTTAGCTGACATTATTATCTTTTTCAAGTCAAGTATGAAGAGATTATGTTTTAGCAAGTAACAAGTTTTGGGTATCGTTCAAAGATTTGTTTCATTATTGTTTAAAGCAAGATCAAATAGAATTCAAATGTGATATCTATAGGGATAAAAATGTTCACTTGGCTAGGGGATACTTGATTTTAGATTACACTGGTTTTGTAAAGGATTTATTACCAATTTCTTAACTTGGTATGCAGATTAGAAGAGGTGATAATAAATGTTGCTTGTTTGAAAGGATTTGTCTAAGTATAAATGTCAAATTACATTCATGGGAGATGGTTTATCTGGATGACCAGAAATAGCATGAAGCATGCTCATCAATGGGAGCCTACAAGATATACATTCTGCCTTATTGTTGGACACCTTCCAAAATTCATCTAATATGGCAAGATCAAGACCTGATTTTTGCATGCCTCGCCACCTTTGTTGAGGGATATAAATACGCATGTACAAACAACAACACAGATAGCTTAGTTATCTTTTTGGAGGCCATAGATTAATTGGATCAACGTTAAGATAAATGGTAGCTTCACTTTCAGTTCTAGTGTTAGTGGTTGTTGACCTCATTTTTTGTGAGATCTAATTTTCCTTTTAGTGATTAGGATTTAATCATAGGACTTTCTTTTTGACTATCATATAAGTCTGGTGATGGGACTCACTTCTTTTAGAAATTCAAGTCATTTCCTGACTATCTTGTGAAGCCTCACATGGGTGGTCTTATATCTCCAGCACTTGGATAGTTGAAACCAAAATGGTGAGATTCAAAGGGAGTTCCCATAAGATCATCAGACCTTAGGTTTGCCTTGCTCACTTCACCTCTCCCCTACCCCCCACCTTCACAAACCTTAAACCAACCCCACATTCTCAAAAATCACCAAAGTTAACCCAACCTTACCAAACTTTGTACCTAACTTCAAATCCAAGTCCCATGGAGCCCAAATTCAAAAGTACATATTCCAAGCCCACATCCAAAATTGCCCAAGTCCAAATTCAAATCCATATCCAAGCCCACCAAAATCCAAAATTCAATTAAATTCTACTAAATTTCATGCCCAAATCCAAAATTGCCTGTCCAAATTTAAGTTCAAGTCCAATTCCACCAAAATTCAAAAATCAGATTCATACCTATCAATTTTCAAGCTCAAAATCCAAATTGTCAAGTTCATATCCAAACTCATCCAAAATCCATTTGAGCTCATGTGCGAAACCCAATTTTTGTATCAAATTTATACCCTAAATTTTACCCTAACCACCTCTAAAATTCACTAGACCCTCAATTGTGCTTTGCCATGTGAACCGAAGTTGAATTGAAGCAAAAGAGGGATTTAGGCTCACCTCGGGCTCGATTTGGAAAAACACCACTTAAAATCCGCGGACGCATACCGGTAATAACACTGCAAACCCTTGATACTACTGTAATTACACCACGATTCAGCGGTAATAACACCGTCGCAAGATCGTAGGCGCAAACCCCTAATAACATTGCGATACACCCTCGCTACTACCACAATAACACCATCTCAATACCACCTCCGCAAATCACCAAGTAACACCGTGTTTCCGTGCTAATGCAACTGCAATAACGCCGCTTCTATAATTCCTCACCAATAACCCTGCAATACTACCACTAATAATACCTCTAACTACACCACTGTCGCGGAACAACAGTAACCCCACGATACAACCTCAATATTACGCTGAATAATACTAGATCCCTCACAATAATACCTCAGTCCGTAATTAAAATTTCAAATTCAAAATTAACTACTTGACCTCATCTAAATTGAGTTTAATTGGGTGTTATGACTTTCTAATTGAGCCTGAATCATGAATGGAAATTACTCCTGCACAATGTCCTGTAATTTTTCTTTTGAAGTTTGGACTTACAAAACAATCATAGGCAACTCTCTATCTCCAAAAAAAAAAAAGGTCAGAAGGATAGGTAGCTCCTTTTCCCCACGAAGCAACAATCTCAGACTCCTGACTGAAACTCCCCTCTTCACCCAGCCAAATTCCTAGCAATCTTGGCCATTCCCTTTCACTGCAAAAACCTAATTTTGAAACCCAAAACTAGGACATTCACGACCACTTCACCAAACTTCATAAAACTTAAAATTGATCCTTTCATAGGCTTCTCCACACTAGAAAACCACTTTAAAATATTCACAAAAATCAAATAAAGATTAGAAAAATATAAATTTGAGTTCTCTGAGTTTTCCAAAGTGAGAGGAGTAAAAAAAATAAAATTGGATTTTCAAGATAAAAAAAAAAATATTTATTTATTCAACAAAACCAAATGAAAATCATAAAAATTAAAATTAAAATTCATTTAATAAAATTATGAAAATCACCCTAGGCGACCCTTTAACTCCTAGGAACATCCCAAAATTTTCCTAAGGACTGAAAATATGGTTTGAGCCATCAAATTAAGTATCATTGAAAATTCACAATTTTGAGCTCAAATAATCACAAAAAAAAAAGTAATAAAAAATGAAAAAATTGCAATTGCACCTCAGAGGTCTTAGTTAGTGAATGAGTAAAAGGCCAATGAAGTTTCATGACCTTTTGAATTGAGCTAAAAGAGTTATAGATTTGTAAACCTAAGGGGTATAATGGTAATTTTAGAATTTTACACTCTAAACCTAATTTTAATTTTTAGGGTAAATGAGAGCGGAGGGAATTAAATTGTGATGATTAGCTTACTGAAATGACTGAAACATAAAGGATAAATAGGGTAGGAATTCATATTCACATATTTCTACCAAAGGGTAAAATTTGTAATTATTTGAATTTTTTGTGAATTGGAAGAAATGAGAATTTGGATGATTCAAAAGTGAAGGGAGTGCATGGAAAGACTAACTGATCACTGATTTGGAACCCTTAGCCAATATTTAAACAAAGTTCAATCCTTTGATACAAATTAAACACACTTTATGTAACTTTTTAAAATTTACAAGTTTACTCCTAAACCATAAGAGCTTGGTGGTGAATTAGGTTCGATCTAAATAAACTTGAGGAATAGTTAGAGAGGAAAAAATAAGGGAGCATAAGTGAACATGAAGCATCTGAAAACACTAAAAGCTCAAACCTAACCGAAAGGTAAGAGTGTAGAAGCTCCTCAAATACTAGGCACATTTTCTTCTGGGATGTTCATCCTCAAAACTCTTAAAATGACCATTTGCGTTTCTCATGGGCTAATCATGACATTAGGATCATACTGAGCAAAGTTTACAACATAACAATTAAACCTTAATTCAACATCGAATGATCAATTTAACAATCTAGTAAGACCAAAATGAACTTGAGATAATTCAGGAGATTCTAAGGTTGTTTAGGGTTACTCTCTGGACAACCTTGCAAGATTTTGGATACCTTGTAGGATATTTGAGTTTACTATGATCTGTTGAAGGGAATCATCCTCAAGCATAAAGATATTCCAAGATATGATTCATGACCCTTTTAATTAAATCACCTCAATGAAAATCCTCGTTACAACTTAATCTACAGTGAAATCTAATGTTTCGGGATCTGAGCTTGAATATCACACTCAGATCCTTCTGGAAATTAAGGATATTTAAAGTGGCCACATATGGATCATGAGTCTGGTGTAAGTTGGATGTCTTAGTGGTAAGAGCAATGTTGAGAAAAAACATCTATGTATGTGAGAAGTATTACATATCCTAACCCGAAGACTAGGAAATGGTCAAGGATTGACATTATTTCTTCCTAACATTTAGTGAATAGTTACCCCTTGTCCTCATGGGTAATTGATAGTCCAAGCTAGGTGGTGTTACTACTCGTGAAAAATCTTTTTTTTTATGTAAAATATACATATGATAGTAATAATGTACTTTTTGAATGAAACCCATAGTTTACTTACTAAAATGAATACAAACTCAAATAATTTTGCACGACAAATTAAAACTCATTTCTAAAATTGTTACTTTGGATACATTCATGTGTCAGTCACACATATCGGGTCGAAGACTGCCCTCCCATGATTGCCTGGCTGGTAGCCTTTTACTCTATGTTGGGTCTCATAAATATGTTGTGAATGGTTGCCTACGAAGTCCTTTTATCAGAGCCACTGGTCCTGATTCTAAGCTCCCCCTTGACTTAGATTCTTACACCCAGTTTAGATCTTC